TATATATATATATATATATATATATATATATATATATATAGCGAGGATGAAACGTGTCAGAAAGATGATACAATTTCTTTCGTGTTTAGAGGCCAGATAGATCAATTAGCACGCACGATGAATAAATCTGACGACTGTCCATCGCAAAAATGGGTTAGTACTAGATATCGTCGTCCTTACTAGAGCCATTATTGGAGACCAACAGAAATGTTAAAATTAGTCGGTAAGCACACCGCGGTAGGTACGACATATTTGAGCGAAAAAGAGCCAAACATTAGTACGGAAGATCTTACGGCATCAATCGCACTGGGCACGAATGGGATATATTTCGGTCCATATTCTGGTTCGTCAGAGTCCGCACCGACTCCTGTTCCACCGGACCGTGACAGAGGAGGTGGTGTGGGTATGCGGAACTGATCCGGTTGAAGTAGCGGTAAAAGCATTGCTCGATGCTTTACACCAGATCCGAACGCAGTGGCCAGGTCATCCAATCCGCGTGGAGTTTGACCTGAGGTCAGTTTAGCCCAGTCCAGGAAAGAACGAGTTGGGTCAGCCGGATCCGGTGTTAGACCACGTAATCGAACCACCTCCGCGTAAATTATCCGTGCACCTAAAGGTTGGTTGAACATGGTTATGATAATTCGAGGATGAGTGTGAATTTTAGATTGTAAAGCACAACGTTATATCATCAATGTTCTGAACGCAGTTTATTCCTAGAATATTTTCGAATGGTAACTAGTTTCAACAATTAGTTGTAAGTGGTAGGCAGTCATCCTGTTGCCCGGCTTACTATCAGATTCAACATATTGAGGTCTTATGTGGTTTACCACTCCAAGTCTCATGGTTGGATGGGTACTCTACCTACAAACTTACTACTGCCCTCATAAAAAAATTCTTAGTTTAAATTGAAATTGAAATTCCTCACATCCATTTCCCCAATCTTCTTCTTCTTTTCACTTCGTCGTCCGAGATAACTCGTCTTCAGTTCCCTAACTGCTTCCCTCATCATTCTTTTCTGCATAAAGCTGGTGTCCTATCACTTCTTCCCAACTTTCGTACCTTGATTTCTCCAACTCTGAATAGCAGCTTATGTAGGCTGAAAATACGGTTCCCTTCTTTCATTCAGTATTTTTTGTACCGTTTACCGCTCCCCCCAGGGTTCAGCGATCCTTCTGTTTTTGATATTCAACCTGTCAACAACACTGAGACACGGATGGCGGCAGAACCTAACAGCCAAATTACCATTGGAGCAAAATTTCAATGCCCACAAGAAACAATGGCTGAAGCACTCCTTCGACACGTTGGTCATGGGAAGCAAAGCTAGGGCTTTTGCTGTGGTCAACAATCTGAGTCAACTACTTGACCTCGCCACACGCATCCCTGATCGTATTGGTGACCGCGCACACATCCTTGACCTCATTCTCACAGCCATTCCCTCTTCATTTTCCAGCATCACTTCACCGAACCACCGCCTCATTTCCTATCTCACTCACTTCTCTCAACCCATTTCACCACTTTTGGCGTTACAATTCAGCCAAATGGAACAATTTTCGTGACTTTCTGGCTAGCTTTTCTTGAAAGGATTATTGTTTCAAATCTGATATCTCAGCTGTTGTTTCAAACTTCACGGAGATTATTCTCCACACTTTTACAAACCCGGAAAATCACGATTCCCTAATTGGTTCAATCATGTATACGATCATGTTGTACGTTTGGAAAAATCAGTATTCCGTTGTTGACTTTACCGACCGAACCGAACATTCAGCAACTGCTTCGCGCAGGTCGGAAACAAATGTTCGCTTACCATACAGAGAGCTAAAGAACGCCTAGCTTCGTCCGCCTTTGGTGACCGAACATTCCGGTCCCTCGGTAAAGCGGTTTTACATAATTCCCGCTCCTCCAACTTTCCATCCATTTGCAATTCCTCAGTTGAGCGGACTTGTGAAATCAAAGTGCAATATTGCTGTGCACCGTGTTCGGATGTACGTTTTGTCGACATGCATCGAACCCAGTCAATACCCAATCACTTATTGCAAGCGTCTACGGTGTGATAAACTTCGACCAATATTGAGCAACCTGAGGCGAGTAACCAAGTGCCACATTGTAGAATGCAAAGTCAAACTCGCATAACTTTTCTCTGTGTTACGCTACGCTTCTAAAGCTATGGATCACCAAACTGTGATACCGCTTATAAAATTTACCAGTTTCTGCTGTGAAACGGTTCGTCAAACACGGATATATATAATGGAGAGATTGAGTAAGTCATTAAACGATAAATTGATGAACTCGTCATTTCCTGAAAATGCTGGAAAATATGTTTGCAACTGATCGTCTTATTGGTTGAATCGACTGCAACTTGAAGCTTCATCTGTTGGTTTAAATTATTGTATTCAGCCAAAAAGGAGCAATCACATTGAATTTAAAGCAGAGTTTGAATCCTTTTTCGATCAGTTGTCAAATATGAAGCCGAAGAATGCGGATGATTTCGGCTGATTTAAAGCAAAACTAGTGGATACAGAAAATCCATACCCAATAACAAGCACAAAAACAGAACTCCTTATTTACCGATGAACACTTCGAAGGATAAAAATAATTGAAAGCTAATCGAAATATTCCAGTGCTGCGCCCTGACAAGGGTTCCGGTGTAGTAGCGATGGCTAAGTCAGACTACAAAGAAAAGATGATGCATATCTTACGGGACGAAACCAGGTTTAAGCCTGAGAATACTTCAGACGATCCAAGTAAATTAGAGAAGAAAATCTGTGTGGAACTGAAAACTCTAACATAAGCGAATCTTATACAAGAATCACTGGCAAAATGTTTGCGCCCGAGGGGAACACAAACACCACAGATGTACGGTTTACCAAAGCTGCATAAAGAAGGCGTTCCATTACGACCCGTTCTGAGCATGATCAATTCACCCCAATATGCATTAGCAAAATGGTTGGCTAAAGTTCTGGTACCGGTGAGAGATTCCGTCAAAGACAGCTTTGAGATGAGTAAACATCTCACCCAAAGAAATATCCAACGAAAACAGATGTTCACCATGGATGTCAAATCCTTATTCACAAATGTTCCGCTGCATGAGACCATCGGGATTATTTGTAAGACAATTGAGGAAAAGAAATTGCAGGTCAGGTTACCCATCAGTGAATTGTCACGACTGCTACTTTTATGCACGTCAAACATTAAATTTTCGTTTCTCGGACAATGATATCGGCATATGGATGGGGTCACCATGGGTAGTCCGCTGGGACCGATTCTTTCCTTGGTCACCTAGAAGGAAAGCTTGAAGAAGATATTTAAAAACTAGATCTATACTGTCGTTATGCTGATGACGTCTTCGTTATAAGCCATGTGAAGGAAGGTGGGGAAAACCTATTTAATCGACTCAACACCATTCACCCCAACATCAAGCTAACTCGTCACGATGCACAGGACGACCACATCGAGTTTATAGATATAAACATTAATCGTCGACCAGATGGATCAATTAAAAGATCTGTCTTCCGGAAGAATACGTGATCTGGGCAATATTTGTATTTCACGAGTTTCGTCCCCGTGCGATACAAAATTGGTCTCGTTCGCACACTATTTTATCGAGCGCGTGAAAAATGCTCAGAGGACTCTTTAGACGACGAAATTCAACTCTTAAAAGAAGTTCTGTACGCAAACGGATACCCATTTTCATTCATCACCAAACATTGCAAAGCAGCACCAGAAGTAGAAAACCCAATAACCGCTCCCAAAATGAAAGCTTTTTTGAAGTTATCACACAAAGGCGATGACGTGATTGAATTAGTCAGCAAGCGGCTGAACTCTGCCGTCAAGCGTGTCTACTACGCAGGTGACCTGGTCATTATCTTCACTACCACCCGGAGACCATCGACATCGGTGAAAGAATCATTGCCTCCCTCCGCCAAATCAAACTGCATTTACCAATTTAGGTGCGGTTGCTCAGCCATCTACGTAGGCAGGACAGAGAGACAGTTACGTCACCGAATGGCCGAACACATCTCGGTGTGGATTAGGAGAGCGATGGACGACAAGCTCAAAACTGTTACGTCATCGAATGAGCAGAAAAGACTAAGATCTTCGATAACACAACACTTATTCGAAGAAAAACATTGTGTCACCTCAACTCACACATTTCAGGTCATCTACAACACAACAAACACACAACAAAGTTACTGAAATTTGCTGTGGCTCTCTAGTCATTCGTACCCTCAAACCCGATCTATGCAAACAACGTGAATGGTTAGTCACATTCGCTTTGCCCTGGTGATTAACCCCCCGCCCCGACCCTCTCCTGTTCTTTGTGTTAATGTGTCGTGTGTCGTGCATTTTGATTATCAATCATGTCAGCATTTCACGGTAGTTATTTCACTGACTATACAAAAATGATTTTGACTGTAGTATGCACGTGTACAGATGTAGCGAAATGACCACGGAGATTCATTGTGTAAACCCATGTTTCTGACTTCTTTATTCAAATTCCTCTTGCACCTTATTTTTGAACCCTCCAAAAGACAGAGGTCTTCGTCTCGCGGCTTGCCTCTAACTTCACCATAACTGTCTACCCTCCTGTCATATATATAACCACTCCTTCCTACCTATCAGAACAACCAGAAAAGTTCACCAAACTCTTTGTGGTTAGGATGCTTGTAAACCAACCGGTCTGGACGGTATTCCACCTATAGCATACCCCGGGGTCAGCCCCTTTTTGTTCTTCACTCGATCTTAAAGCTTTCCCTGCCTCCATGGAAAAATGTCATTACTTTTCCAATTTCAAAGCGCGGTGACCCTGTCGTCTCCCAAAATTACCGTCCCATCACTCTCATATCTGTAATTTTGAAAGTGTTTGGAACCATTACCTCCGACCAGCGGCGCACGTTTCTCAAAGGCGAAGGTTTGTTGAATGACCGTCAGTATGGATTTCGCCCTCATCGATCTGCCGGTGACCTGTTGACTCTCACATTGCATTCCTGGTCATCTGAAATCTATAGCCACGGACAAACTCACATGGTCTTGCTGGACATTTCAAAGGCCCTCGATCGCGTTTAGCATGGAGGTCTGCTGTCAAAATTATCCACGTTCGGATGACACCCATCTTTTGTATCGTGGTTCCAGTGTTTTCTTAGCAAGCGAACCATCTCTGCCAGAGTCGATAGGGTTCTATCTCGGCCATTCCCGGTGAATGCCGGTGTTTCCCTCCCCAATGTTCTATAATTTCGCCCACCCTCTTTCCTCTATTTATCTACGATACATTTTCCAAGCCTCTAATGCCATTCACTGCTGGCCGATGATGCCACTCTGCATCGTTCTCTTTCTTACTGTGAAACCCATCCGTTCACTACCAATATGGATCACGATCATCATATTATTAGTGCTTACCTTGCCTCCGATCTCAGATTTACCTCCGTATCGGATTTTATCATTCATGTGTATCTCAATGCCTCCGAAATTTCTCTCCTCTCTGTCTCCCTCAAACGTGTCCCTTATTTCCTTCAATTTATTTTGGACTAGCTGCCCCTTCGTTCCACAAATTTGCTCTCACCCATAGGTTGATTCATAAATTCTTCTCTGATGATCTCCTTTTATTTCCACATTCACCTCTCGCACTGCGCGCAAACGCAGTTTTCTATTCCGTGCAAATCGCTTCTTTACACCCAGGCACCTTCTCCTTGTATTCAAAGCTCAAATCCGCCCAAGCTCGAATGCTGCACTCATGTATGGGATAGAGCTTCGTACTCCGCTCTCTCTCTCCTCAGCCGTGTTCAATGCAAGACAATCCGACCGATCGACGGATAGTCTTTAACTTCCAATCTGCAATCACTTTCCCACCACCATGCAGTTACTTTGTTATCTCTTATCTATCGTTACTATTTTGGTTTCTGCTCTTCTGAACCTGTTCTAGTCAACCTCGTTCTCACCCTTATCAGGTTCCTGTCTTCATACATTAAACCTCCATTTT